ATTTACTGTAAAAACATAAAGCAGTGAGAAATGTAAACATTTCAAACAGTTGCTGCCCTAATAATTCTTTATGAATATTTAATGCTGAAATCAAGGTTTCCTTGTACTCACCATACATTTTAGCTTCATTTTTTCATAAGTTGAAAAACAGTGTAGTAAAGTAGCAAGAAACTTGAACTCTGTCTCTTAATCTACAAATCTATAAATTACTCTTCACAGAATGATTTGGCTGTCCCTAAAGAGCTGAAATTTTAAAATGTAGTATGAACCAAAAGCATATGTGCAAGGCTAAATTATTTTAGTACATACAAATGAACACTGCAAAACTGTAATCTAAAGAATACAACCTTTTGTTCAAATCCAGTAGTAAGATTTGTGAAAGCAGACTCCTAGGCTCATCCAGGGCTTCACTGAAATCAGTAGCTGCACCTGAATCCCATTCTAGTGTGTAGCCAGACTAGGACATTTGGTACTTGCAGGCATAATTGGTGCCTAAAATCACTTTGAGAAATGAATGCATTTTAAATGAGTCATTACAGCTAATCTGAAAAACAATCTTCTCCTAGATACCAGCTATTCTGGTGATAATAGATTTCTGATTACCTTTGCACAGCATGATTAAGGCTAAGTTGGACACTGTTGAAGCAAGAGGGATAGGACTGCCAAGAAAAGCAGTAGAAAATAATCATGGCTGTTTTTTTTCACCTGAAGAGAAAATAGATAGGCTTTGCAGAACAGATGTTCAAGGACAAAAATTTGGCCATGACTTTTAGGCCTTAGATGCTATTGTCCTTTAGCCCATTTTTTATATTTAGGAAAAAAAAAAAAAAAAAAAAGGACAATGATAATTGGTTCAAGTTTTCCTTAACTAGTTAGCTTTTAACTGGGTGCTGGAGAAGGCTATTGTAACTTATCTTTTGTTATTAAAACACATTTTAAATTCTGTAGCCACACATTGGTTTTATAATAATCTAATAATCAAGCCAAATTTAAAAATAAATCATTTCTAGTCTTTATTGTTGAACAATATTATAAGTGTCCAGATGTGTGGCATTAGTTTGTAGAAGGCAATGACATATAGAATATTTACATTCCTTGCTCTCCAAATCCAGACCAGACACTCCCATTTTCCAGTGTTTCTCATGACCATTGGGGCAAAAACTTGTAGATTTCATATTTTTTTAAGCTGATTTCAGCTCCCATGTGATTAATGTTTGCCAAGTGTATATATTCGAGTGTTAATATTCAAAATCATTGTCTGTTTTGGAGACTGGTGAATAAAACCCCAGAACATAGAGATGTGCTAATTATAGAAGCATGAACATTCTTTATTCTGTAAACATAAATAATATAAAGATGCCAGAAATATTTCCTACTATCCAATCTAAAAATATGTGGAAAATGTACCTGTTCAATCATGTGAATCCTTATTTCACAAGGATTGTCCACTTGTATACTTTGCCAAACATGTACATTTGGAGTTAGTTGTTATACTGTGGACCAAACATGTTTTTGATCACATTACACTATTTTACCCTGACCATGAAATATAACGGTGGCAGATTCCTAAATTTAGGATGAAGGTTATTCAACTGTATACTTCTCACAAGCCCAAAATACCATGTACGTCTGTATATGAAAGGCTTTCATGCTGCACCCTGCAGAATCATAGAAAACCCTTTCTATAGAAATACCTTTCTATAGTGCTCTGGGTAGAATCCTGTTCTTCCCTGTCATGCCTGTATTCAGTAAGGAGTACTCTGTGTCTGTACACACATATGTGTATGTTTATGTGTATGTGTACTGTACACAGGCATTCACACTGACAAGAATGGATTTGACTATACATAAGTCAATTTTTATGAAATGTTAAATAACTTGTGTATGTAAATACCCCCCCCCCCCCATTTTCCCCCCCCCCAATTTTCTCTAAAAGAATATCTACTAGTAATTTGCAAAGAAAACGATAATTGATACTGAATTTTAAATACAATTCTGAATACCTCTGCTACTGGAAAGCTTCTTTAACATTTCATAAAATCTGCCCATGAAAATTTAAAATGTCCTGCTTTTCCATAAACCAATGTGTGAATCATTTCTACTAGGATTATCAAACCAAATTCTGCTCATGGATATTCCAGCACATTGTGACATTGTTAGAAATTTTAGTTTGTTTTAAATCCATATAAAGCTGAATTAACATGAATGGACATAGTTTGTCTGTACATAAATTTCCTATCTGTAAGATAAGATCTTGTGTAGTTAATATATGTTCTAAGGTCTTTATCAGGGACTCGTATCTCCCTGCCTTATTATTCCCACCCCCAGAGTCCGCACATGATGCCTTGTTTCAATTGTACAGTCTGCTTTTGATGCAGTCAACAGTTTGCTACAGTTTGTTTAAAAATACGACATCTCATTCCATAATGTAACTAATTGCAGTTGTACTCTTGTTTACATATTATTAATAAAAACAACAAAATATGTTGTCCTTGGAGACTAAGCGTCTGGAATCCTTGAAAAGCTGCAGTTGCAAACACCAAAAAGGAAGTAAAATCTTTGAACCAGTCCATTACCATTAAAAAGTAGCTTGCTGAGTTTCCAGTGCAGAATAAACCTACTCCTACGCCAGCTACTCTGACAAAAAATAGAAACTATAACAACAGTCTCCCTTACAGATAGAAAAGCATACTTTGAGGATTTTTACAGGTGATCTCTACATAGAAATCATCTGTACAAAGACATCCCTGATGTCTGTTCTGGGCAGTGTTTCAAGGAGATGCCACTCAATATATCCTTTTTAAAAACTCATCCTGAGTAGAGTCCAATGCTAAACACGATGAGAAGAATATGGGAACTTCTTTTCTACTGGTATGGGATGGCAGTCAGGCATCTAGCAGTGGACTACCTTAGCCATGCAGACCAGATGAACAACAGGTCTAGAGATATACAAAGGTGAGAACTAAGGGTTATTTTCTCCTAGTGTGTTCCAAGAAAACTTGTGCTTTCAAATAAAGGTTGACTGCAGGTAGGGAGGCAGCTGGAGTTTTGAACAATTGAAGCGACAGCACACATTAGCACTAAGTTTGTGGATCAGAAGGGTACACAGTCAAAGCAATCTGAAAGCCCAAAGACAAAAGACATACAACATATCTGAAAGGATCTTGTTTTTCCCAGGTTGCAAGAGATCTACACTCAAGCAAAAATGATCTACATTTTTGTACTTATCAAACCTACTACGATAAAAATGAAAATATGGTCTTTGTCTGAACATAATTACTGGAAAGAGCCCATCCCCAAATCTCACTGCAGAGTGTGGTAAGTTGCAGCATGCAAAACTTTAGGAGAGAGAGCTGAGTTTGGAGGAAATTTAACTTCACTTATCAAAAAGGTTAACAAAAGGGGACTTTGGATTGTAGCTCTACAACCCACCCATCAGCAGAGATTTTTTGGAATATTCACAGTTACTCTACAAAGTAAAAACAGAGAAAGGATCTCTTCAAAATTATATACATTAAAAACTATATAATAAAGCAATATTTGCAGATGTGTTCAACATGATATATCCATCACAGCAAAAGTCAAATAAATACTTATTAAAGGTGAATTAACATATATATCTAACTCCAAAGGAAGTGACCCACAATTCTGCAAAGCCAGGTGTTTGGAGTTCCCCAAATATTAGTAGAGAAACCTAAATTTAAGAGGGATGTGTAACACCTTAGAGAGTGTCTCTCCCAGGATCTGGCAAAATGGGATATCACCTTCTAGGATAACATATGTACTTATTTGAGAATTTGTGCTGCACTGTACGCAATGACAGAGTGCAGAGCTCTCTGTTTGCTATAGTTATGCACCAATGATAAATTACAAGTGAATTTATTTTTGTACAAGTGAACAATCCTAAATGTAAATGTTTATTAGAACTTTTGTTACTGCCTCAATCGAAGGCATTAGTTAACTTGCTATTACTGCAGGGCAGTAAATGACAGTTGGACTCTACTTTACTTTTTATAAACTTGTTATAAACATATATATTTATGCTAACCACACTTTATATTTTAATATTTTATCCCAGATTTTCTGCTGGTCTGGTGAGCAGCAGCGGTTGAATTAATGAACAGATGGAGGAGGAGTTATGCTAAGACTTTTCACCCTGCATGAAGTTTAGAAAAGCCTAGATTTTTCTGCTTCTTGAAGGAGTGGGAACAGCAAGTGCAAGAGGGAACAGAAAGTACGTCAGGAGTTTCTAGGACATCCAAGCTTTTCTGCACATGCTGATGGCTGAAGCATTATGAAGAAGGATTCTTCAGTAGATGGACAATGGCCAAAGAAAGGACCGTGCTCCTGAGAGCTGTATATATCTATGATTGGATACAGAAGGAGGCTCCTTGCTATATCTGAGCTCTCAGACCTGGCCTTCCTCACCATGCAGTGTGCACTGGCACCTGCAGGAAAGGGTCTGTCTGCTCAGAAGCTTCCCTCCGATCCTCAGTGCATACACTTGCCAAATTTGTCCTTAGAATGACATTCTTCCTCCAGTAGGGTAATACCTCTGTTCGCAGTACACAACAGTTTAGCCTCTCCAGAGGACTAGGGTGACTGGGTTTGGGCATCATAAATCAGACTACGTGATTCAACCGTCTTTATCTCTGGCTACATCCTCCATGAGACTTAGGAAATGTTCCAAGTGATACCACTTCAAGAAACCTTATCTTCTAAAGTAAAATGGAATAGCTCCTTTAATTTATTTTGTTACATAAAAACTTAGCCTATTATAATCATCAGCTGATAATAGTGTGTTTCTAAATGTGAAATTTCTAGGATTGTTTGCCACTCAGATGGCACCTTGGGACAACCCGCATTATTAGTCCTTTTTTTTTCCAGTGTCACGCACATACTGCTGTACAAGCCATGTAATGAATAGTATAACATATCTTTCTTTCATTTCCAACCTGATATCATGAGTGAAGTTAAGAAAGTACAGTCTTCGTACTCACCCCAGCCTTTGGTTTAGCTCCAGAGCTGGCTGCCGAACAGGGAGATGCTAGGTCAGGAGCATGGATGTTAGGAGACAAGTTTGTTTGTGAGTGACTTACTGAAGCAACATCCACTCCACTTTCAGAACCAGATTCAACATCCTGTAAAAAAATGTTGCAAGGCTCTTTAGGAAATGTGACTATGAAATTAAATACTGCCATTATTTAGAAGAAGTAGATTTTTGACAGCCTCACTCAAATATATTTGCTTAATTCTCTGTGTAAGAGTAATTCCCCTTATTCTTTTCCATTACCTACATATTCACTTGCTGTCCTTTTCAGTGTGGTGGTTTGCATTAGCTGCTGTTCTGAAATTATAAATCACCACTAACATCAAAGCTATAATTCCCCTAAATGTTAGAATGCAAGGTAAGAAAAATCAGTTTGGGGTTGCAGAAGTCTGACATTTTTCTCTGATGTTCAGTATTTCCTGTGTGCTCCCACCTTCTGTCTCCAGCAGCGTTGCAAGCTCAGTGAACATCTGTAAACCATTACACAGCTGAAATGACATCACCATCTCGCAGTTTATACAATTCAGAGGTACAGCTCCCTAGTTTTTTGGAATCAGCAGACACTTATCAGCCAAATGCTATTTCTGGTTAAAAAGCCCTTACTTTAATGACACTGATTGCATTCCTTTTTTAAGAATAAAAAGAAGAAGAAATAAAGTATGTTTTATTTTTGAGGAAGTAAAAATACAGTGCATGCTTGATTTACTGCATAGAGTGAGGGCAGGGGATTATAGTGCTTGCAGATAAATTGTGACACATATCTGGCAAAGAGCTGGCTATGCATAGAACCAGCCATATACTGTCAGGATTATTAGCTGAGGTGCAGCCTGTGTGAATACAGCTACGCAGTACACAGAAAAAAGCCTGAACTATTAACCCCAGCCAACTCTGTGCAGACAAAGCCTGGGTTTCCTAATACCAGGTTCCTAGAATAGGTGAAATATGGGGCAGAGACATCTCAGGGGTTCTGCTCCTGAACTGGGAAGAAATGACAACCCTTTGGTTCATTAATTTGAGTTAAGTATCTGGTCTGCCAAACAGAAGCTGCCAATTAGACAGGTGCCTCTACACCAAATATGCAAGTGTGCCCTTTTCCGAAAAGAGTTAGAGACAAAGCTGCACTCTAGGCTGGGCCATGCATTTGAGTCAAATATTTCCTGCCAGTGAGTCCTCTGCAATGTGAAGCATTGGGAAAGCAGCAGAGCCACGGAAATGCCTCTGTAGAAGTCAGCCTGGGTACAGCTACCCTTAGAAACTCCTGCTTAGCAGAGCCATGCTGCCACAGTGCAGAACCATGCTGCCTGCCCCATTACCCATGCTTTCGTGTCACATTCAAATGCTTCATTACTATAAAATCAATATGAGAATGAACACAATGCACAAGTGTCCTGAAAACCAAATCCTTTGCTCTTCTGATTCATAATACTCAAAGGCTCAAAAATTCCTAGAAAATCAGTGTATATAAATTGCATATATATCATGTTTGATGCAAGCTGTCTTTCTGGAGGGCTGCTTTGCAGCATGCAAAAAGGTACCACCTCTCTTTATCATGCAGGCTTACTTATACAGATTGCCTCAACTCCCTTTCTTGCTGTAAGAAATTAGCTAAAATGCCGGCACTCATTGGTGAGGTATGGAGAACAGATGTTAACACTGTATTTCAGCTTTCCTCTCCCATCAGTGCTCACGGAGATACTGCAAGAACATTGATATCCAGGGGGAAAATGTTTAACTATTAAAAGTGTAATTATGTTATGTCCTTTAAAAATGACATATTATATAATCTTCAGCTGACCAAACCCACTGAAACTTAAATACAGCTTTTCTCACCTACAGACAACTCGCTTGACTATACGGCAATAATGAAGTCTGGCTTTAATAGGAAAACCCCTTCATTTTTTAAAAGAAAATACCCCTAGCAAAAACAAACGACCTGAATGTTAGTCTAGAGATCTTAGGGCAGTATTTCTCAGGTTTCTTAAATTGAAAACCAGCTGCAGCACATGTGGGTGAAATTAACAGGAAGCCTGCATGAGAACACCTTGGGTCAGCCATTTCATGTTCTTCACAGTTACATGTGTAAACATTTTTCAGAAAAAAAGAATGCATCAATCATGTTTGTGAGCTGTCTAGTCTCCCTTCAGACTACTCTCAGCAAGGAATTATCTCGTTTAAATAAATAAAATAATTAAAGAAATTTAAATAATTAAAGTTCTGCCCAGAATCTTATTTTGAATGACAGAGGATTTCGTAAGTTTGTGTCTGCCAAAAATTTCATGGACCCTCCCACTAACAGAAAAACAAGACCTGTAGCTCAGACTGACTTTCAGTTCTAACTATTTAATGTCAAATGACACATACACGTATGCTCTGAGACTGAGGTGATCCCCCACCTGTGCTGACTCTGCATTTACAGTAAGGGATAATTAGAAAGCCAGACATTTTCTGAATCTTGTTGATCTCACTTTCTTTCATCTGTGAGCTCTGAACCTCTCATTTATGAAGTGATGCCAAAAGGAAATAATGGATGCCACTACTACTGCCTTCAAAACATACACATATACAAACAAAAATACATTTCAAATTCTTTACGAAAAGAGCTTTCGTTCTGAACCAGGAGCTGATAAATGTGAGGACAGAAAAAAAAAAAAAGTGAAGTAAAACCAGATTCTTCATAGAATAGTGAGAAAGATTAAGCAAACTGGCTTACAGGTATATGCCTCCGTTTGTATGTTGGGGTGCTGGATGGGGAAGAGCCTGCACTGAGAGCATTTTCAATATCCTGATCAAGCTGGTCCAGTTTCATAATTAACAACACCATTGAATCCAGTCGTGATCGGTCCCGATCTTCTGTTATTTCCTAAGGAACAGAACGTACAATTGCTAAATCTGAAACGGCATTACTTGGAAAGAATAAGCTCAAATTAAGAAAGCTCTGTTTCCTAATTTGGCATGAAAGTATATTGAATAATGAGCAGAAAAATCTCTTTTTTGGGAAAAAGAACTGTTTTGTGTAATCAATTCACTGAGCATTGACTTACTGCTGGGAAAACAATTTATATTAATATTTAATATACATCCATTATAGCAATTAAATTTTTTTAAAAAGCACAGTTCGATACAAATGCATCATTATAATTTCCTTGATACACATACTTTTTAAAGAGCTAGTGATTCTAAACACTTCCTCCAAATATTCACCCCAAGTTAATTAATTTGATTGTACAAATAGAAATGATGAAGGTTGATGTATGATTGAAATGGAGAGAAGGAAGTTCAAAGAAGCCATTCTCCAGCTGAGGACTTTTTCTTGCAGAACTCATCAGCGTAAATATGTTTTGTCAATTCTTGACAGAGATTTCTGTCTTGGTTGGAAATTCTTGATATACATGAGATACGTTAACATTATAGTAAATACAGCATTGTAGATCCTCTGACTAGAAAGACAGAATGGTGAGGGATATTTACATCATAGCCTTAAACACCTAGTTTATGCAGCTTATTTCCCTATACTCCATTTGTAGCAAATGGAGACAGAGAAGATTGTTGAACGAGAAACTCAAAGTGAGATCTTCAGTTAGATGGACTAAATAATGCTCTCAAGGAATTTCTGCCTCTCTTTCCCCTTTATATAGAGTGTTAATGCAACAATTAGCCAACTAGCCTGCCTCAAAATTCAGGAATATGAAACGCCCCACTGTTTCCTGCATGGATTTTCACAACAGGAAGTTAGAAAATAGGAAGTTCCATTAACTCACTTAAAATAATATTTTTATAAATTCTTCTCAAGAAATGGAAACAAAGGTGTTATAATTACTTCATTGTGTCCAAAAAGTAGGTAATATAAATGCCCAAATCAGCCTTTTTTGGTAGTCATTAAACTGTTTTTCAGGCTACATAGTGCCTTCATTAGTTAGGATTCTATTAGTGGGTTTTTTATAGACTACTTCAAAGACATTGCAAAACCTGAATTAAATGATTTCTGCTAGAATTAAAGGAACTGTATAGATAAAACAGTCATATAAAACATGGTCTACATGGCAGTTATATGAAGACAGAGGTGACCAAAGGTTAGTTAACTAAATCTTGGAAAAGCAGAAATACAAATCTGTCAGTCCGTAGCAGTTATGAACACTGTTCAAAGCAAAGGCCAAATCCAGAAGAACTGTGCATTTCATTTTTTATTACAACATGATATTTTGGATTGGTTTGCTGAAATTGCAGGACCTCCTGATGAACCTGAACTGAGTTTAGAATGACCCTGAGAGAATATTACCTCAAAACAACATAGCAATCAGTGAAATGGGTTAAGTTTCACTTTCTTTCAAACTGAAAACACAGTGTCCCAAATGATTCATTGAAACGCCATGCATCTTCATTTTAACTGATGTTAAATTGATGTCTGAAGTTTGCAAATGTCAGAACAGTTATTTAATCTAATCTGCATGGGTACAGAAAGCCCAATAGAGCAAATAAGGGTCTGCTAACAAAGGAGGCATGACCTCCTTTGTGCCAGGGGGCTATATTTGCCATAGTAGGTGAGATTGTAGCCAGTTTACCCACCCAGAGGGGGCCAGTTCTGCTACCCAGACTACCCTCCCACACAATCCCCTAACTATGTATTTATTTCTATTAGTTTTGCTTGGAAATATAAAACTGGAAATGCTCATCAACCTAAAATTTACACTTGACTTAAAAACTAAAAGTTAATGGCCACACCACAACAAAATGAGTGGTGGTGACTGGGTGGGGTTTTTTATTTGTTTGTTTTATGGGTTTTTTTTTCAGACTAGAGAGCTAACAGGATTTTTACACGAGGACACACACACACACACAGAAAAAAACAATCTGGAATTTTTCCCAAGCAAATTGTTTTACTTATCCTGCCAAAAAAGTACACTTGCTCTGCGTGTAGCAGACTGAGAATGCTGGAGAAGAATCTGCTGAAATGAAGAGGTGACAAAATGTTGCTCAAAGTGATACTTAGGCTTGACACAATGGCTGGTTTTGCAAGCAAACACCTCTTTCAGAAAGCAAGAACATTATCAGTATGGAGTTTAGCTATTCTGTTCAGAAGTCTTAGCAATGGTTTGTGGTTCTGACTGCTGTTGACATCAACCTTGTCATGAGAAGTTTTAACATTTAAGTATAGTTTCTATTTTCACAATTTACTGAATAACACAGCAATCACCTTCTGTTTGGCCAGGGCATAATTAAATTGTATACATGAAAGCCTAAGCATTAGACCAAAAATTTAACACGTACAAATAAAAAAATCTAACCTTGAGTTGGAAATTCAATACAACATACTAAATAAACATTATTATAAGATTAATTTATGCTTAGGCAGTTTTAGCCTTGATATTATCTAATAAATTTCCAAGAGCTTTATAGCCTATTTGTCTTTTTTGTATCTCCCTTCTGAGATTTTATTACCAAAGTGTGATATGATCTAAAGCCAGCAATATATTAGCAATTCATTTGTTTTCTTTTGAAACACAGTATTTCCTTTATATCCAGTCTCTCAGGTTTTTCTCCTAGTTACCTTCCAAATTAGTACACAATAACATCAATTACATTTATAGAATTGTACAAAAATCCTACCTTTACAATTATGAAGTAAAAACTCAGGCAGCAGAAGGTGCCTGGTCAAAGACTGCCCTTATAGCCTTAATGTCTGCCTTTAGGCATTTGCATTGGGCAATTCAGGAATGTATCACAAGCATATACAGTAGGTCAAACTTGAGATGTTATTTGTCTGGAGATTTTATTTTTAACATGTCTCCACACAAAGAGGAAATACTTTAGGTCATGAACTGGAAAAAACAGTATTTCTTTTAATTTTTATCCCCACTGGTGTGATAAAGAAGCTAGTTAAATTTGAATATATTCATATGTTTAGAGCAGAAAGCATTGTAACTGTTCCCAGAATGAAGGATGCTTGAATTACTCCTAAATAAAGTATTAAAAAGGTCATATTAAAAGAAATCCAGACGTTTTTACAAGGAAAACAGTTTACAAGCCCTGTTGCTATCATCAGCAAACAATGCTATGAAAATGAAAACGTTTTTGAGAATGTGGTTGCAGATGAGATTCAGCCACTTGTGTCATTTTGGAGCTTATATTGTTATTGAAAAGAATAACGCTATCTTTTCTCTCTATGTACTCCTATGCCTTCAAGTGCTTCTTTGTCTTTTTACTACCAAGCTGCTTTGTGCCTGCATTTACAAACTGAAGTTGTTTATTAACATGATGTCCCTATAGCACACTGCGTGGAGAACACCTGGCAATTTCTGAATATAACATTCTTTGTGCATAATGTTATATTTTTGATTTTGAATGTCTGACAGCTAAACAAAAAACACTGTACAAAGGCAGCGTTAGTCAGAGTACTTCTAAAAAGTACCTCTCCCCACTTTTTTTTTTTTTAAGGGTACAACTTTAATACCCATATTATCAGAATATTATGATGATTTTAACCTACTCTGAAATGAAAGAAACCAGCCAAGGAGTACAACACTAGTTAAGTTTGGACTTAGTACATCCATTTTTTCTTATCATGGTAGGGCAAAACAGTTGAAGCAGATACCCTTCTCTTCCTCCTCTCTTAAACCCTTTATTTCTCTAAGAGTATTTTTCACCATCTCTTGTAGCCACTGTTTTACATCACACACACACACACTTTTCTTCCTATTGTAGCCCCTTTTCCAACATACATCTTTCAGCTGAGTAGAGCTGAAGCAAAGGGTACTTTTTGAAAAGAAAGATGTAATTCTAAGAGTAAAACCTATTTTCATTTTCACAGCAAAAAGTTTGCACAAAAGTAGTTAGTACACAAAACTCGTTTTGTGCTCTCTCTTAAGGCCCTCAGGGGGATTGAATCACTCCCACCTTCCCTGTAAGAAAGCATCTGCTGGTTTCCAGACCAGAGCAGACACCCCCATTAGTGCCAGTGGGGTCCCCTGTGGTTAAGAAGGGAAGAGGACATCCCACTCCAAGCAGTCCTGTTAGGGCCATCAGGGCACCACCAGCCTCTCTCCTCCCTGACGCTCTTGTGTCAAGATACTCATGATTTCTTTGAAAAGGGGACCTTGGTTTTTAGAGGCAAGCCTGTTACACAACTGGCAAAGCAAGCTTAATTACCCACAAAAGAAAGGGATCTTTTATGGAAAGAGTTGGCTAAGTTTTGTCTGGTATTCTTGATCTGCAGCCAGCTGGACTGACTTAAGATCTTGTATTAACGCTATGTATTTCAGATGGCATTAAATTACTTATTCTTGTCTTTCCTTGCTAAAAAACACCCTTTCTGAAAAATAAAAAGTTATAAAATCACTGATTTTATACTGTGAAGCTTTTCATCTGAACTGAAAACAAACACAAAGAATAATGCAATATATGGTATTTTGGAATTATCTGTTGATTTTTACTAGCAGGTATATAAATCAGATGTGCAATTTTCATCCTTCTACATTGCAGTGTACAGTTCAAAAACTTTGAAAAGTACCTAAGAACTTTATCTTTCTCTAAATTTTACACTCTACAAGTACCATATTAAAGTACTATTCTTCGTTATATTGGAGGAATTGCAGACGGAGATCATTAAAACACAATGAAAAACCTAAAGTATTCCTTTCCTTTTTGACATAAGACACAAGGCCTAGACACCAGCAAAGATCACAGTAAGGTTACTACTATAAATCATATTTTGAACTGATATTTGAAATAGGCTGAAAATGGGACAAATAACATAAGCATTGCTGGTGTACACATGCACAAGCAAGGAGACATGCTCATGCATACAGATATCCCTACACATTCATGCATGTTTTGGGGAAAGTAGCTTTTCTTCTAATTTTTCTT